ACTACGGTAGGGTAAGGTTAGGTAGTAAGTAAGTACGACACTACGGTTGGTGGTAAGAACGTACTAACCTAACGACGACGTAGTAAGTATACGTAGCGTCCTCCTCCTCTCTCTCTCTCTCTCTCTCTCTCTCTCTCTCTCTCTCTCACACACACACACACACACACACACAATGTACTTGGAACTAAATGTGTTTTACTCTAAGCAGGGAGGAAATGACTATGAGATTTTCGAATCGGAAAGGACGATTGGCCACACAGGTTTGCTCTTGTTCATACTAATATTGTACATTTTAATCTGATCTGGCGATCAAATTATTGAAACCGAAAGAAATGTTCGAGTTTGTGCTTTACATTTATGTTAATACAGCCTTGGAACTTGCAACGTTGGGTTATGCGTCCCTCTTCAAAAACCCATGTTTTTCTGCAATTGGTTTAAATTTTTGGATTCAAAGATTGTTTTTCTTTTTCTGCATCAGATTTTGATTGAGGTTTGGCAAGGATCAGATCAATTTCAATTTAATGGAATCAAGAATCCAAAATTTCATAAAATCACTTGAAAACATGTACTTTGGCTCTTGCAACCTAAAGCTAGAGAGAGGACAGGTTATAGCCCAGAACATAGGAAGTCCATAAAACCACTTGCAAACATGTACTTTGGCTCTTTTAATCTAAAGGTAGAGAGGAGAGGTTATAGCCCATAACATAGGAAGTCCATAATTAATTTACTTATTTTCTATCTGTTTATACTGCAGTGACATGCCCTGATGATACTCTGAAGCTGTGCACAGAACTATTCCTTCGCAATTTGGAGGAAGCCTCAATTTATAATCCATGATTTTATTCTTGACACATCATAGACTGAATTTTTTTCATTATTATATATGCTTCTTGATAGAGATGATTCAAAAGTGAACAATGTATTAAATTTACTTCCTCATGAATGCAAAAAGAACAGGTAAGCATAATTAGACATAGGAATTGGGTAGTGGCTCGAGTGGTTAGCGGTTGACATTAGGAACCTTACATTTCGAGTTCAATTCCTACTGCTGAACTATAAAAAAAAATTGCATAAAAGAAAACCAGACATCACGCAATAAGTTTATGGTATATACTACATGGATCTCTCAATCCTCAAAACGGATAACCAGACATCACCCAATAAGTTTGTGGTATATATTTACAGGGATCTCACCAATCCTTGATAATGGAGAGAGATGTAACACATCATACTCTAAACAAAAATACTAATAAAAATAAAAGAAATTAAACACATGAAAATTAAAAGAAATTGGTAATACACAAAATGGGATAAATGTGGGAGCTCCTATGAAATTATCCTTTCAGGCTGGGTTAAAAAATCTTTATTGATTATTATTGCGTTTATTCAACCGTGGTTGTGGTTAGGCTAATAGAAACTTTATCAATTGTATAGAACTTTGATGAAATTAAATTGAGGCTTTAACCATCACTACACCAAAAAAAATGAAAGCATTTGCAAACAAAGAAATTACAATCTAATTTTAGTGATACCTAACAAAATTACCATTATTTCATATCAAACTTCTCTTATCTTTCTCTGTTAGCCAAATAAAATTTATTCTTTTAATCAAACCAAACTGTAATAACTATCTAAATTGTCATATTTGTCACCTCTTAATTAGTGAAATAACTTCATATCACCACAAATCAAAACCTACATCAACCAAGTAAAAGTGTACCAAATCATCATCTCTACCCACATAAAACCCATTAAAACATTGATATCATCAAGCCCATTTAAAGAAATCCGTATCCCTATTTATCACCCATCTCTAAAAGTACCTGAATAAAAAATGAAAACTAAGATAGAAGAATCAAATCCAAAAGAGCTTTTGAATAAGATAAGAATAATGTTGACCTAAAAATTTAATGACTAAACCACTAAATCTAAATAATCATGATATACAAACCCAAAATGTTAATTAATATAATTTCAAATTACAAATATTTGATTTTTATTGTTAATAAATATACTTAATGAGAACTAAGATAGAAAAATCAAATCCAAAAGAGCTTTTGAATAAGATAAGAATGATGTTGACCTAAAAATTTAATGACTAAACCACTAAATCTAAATAATCATGTTATACAAACCTAAACTATTAATTAATATCATTTCAAATAACAAATATTTGATTTTTATTGTTAATAAATATACTTAATATTGATGAAGTTGATTCTAAAAGAAACTAACCTAATAAGTTATAACAGTTTCTAACAATCTGAAGAATTATTCGGAATTAAAAAATTTTAGCCTTCAATCAAATGAATAATTATGTGAAATTATAAGAGTTTCAAACAATGTATCTTCAATCCCCTTCAGTGTTCTTATCTAAAAATGAGGAAGTTTTTGTATCTCAGTTATGAAATTAAAATGCATATAGAACTCTGAGTTTGAAACATGCAACTTCAAAGTTCAAACAAAGGATCAATTAAATTAAATTATTTATCTTGAACCCTAATTTTGACACTGCAAGTTCAAATGAAGAACCAGTGAATACTCTCAAAGCATAAAATTCCACATGGACATTAGAATACATGCAGAGTTATGCAAACACTTAAAGCATGTCATGGAAAATATGAGTTTCCCGTCACACTCAAAGTCAAAGTAGGGGTGGCAACGGGTCCGGTCGAGGTCTGGGTCCCAAAAAAACTTATGGGACCTGGACTCAGACCTGATTGGACCTGACCTAAAAATAGAAAAATATATATATTTCAATATATAAAATATTATGTTAACTATATATATATTATTTAAATATTATAACTAAAAATATAATTTTATATTTATTTAAATATTATATATTAAATATTATTTAAATAATAATACTATTCAGATCCGAGTCCCGTCAATAGTAGGACCCGACTCCTAGGTCCAATTTTTGGCTCCATTTCCGGACCTAGGTGGGTCTGGGTCCGGGTCCATTGCCACACCTAACTCAAAAGCACGTCAAATATGAAATAAGCATGTAAACTGTGGAGGTCTAATCACACTCAAATCATTCCATGAAAAGTTATTCACACAATTTGGAGGAAAAATGAGATTCAGATGATACTTTGCAGTAACCATCAACTTTAACCGGTCGAAATTCCCGAAATTCTATTACCATTTTGCGATGGTTAGTATTGTATTTTTTTACAAATATTGTGGGCTTTTATTAAGAAACTGCTTCAAAAGCATGGTGTTCCAATGTAATCAACTCGTCAGAATCATGGTTAGTATTCTCTTTCAACTATATAAGTGTATCTCTATGTTTATATCTTTACATTTGCTATGTTACATTAATATCATATTTTTGTGTTTGGTAGCTACTGACAAGTATTATTTTATTATTAGAATTGGTGCATTGACAGATCTGGTCCAGAATAAAAATTAGATTTGATAAAATATATATATATATTTGACTAGTTTTGACTGGGCCGACCGGCTATTTTCAACCAATTCGACCATCTATTGCCTAGGGGAGTAAGGAAATAGTATGTCTAGATTACATCACCTACGCTTTCAAAACTATTGAGTTTTGTCTAACGAGTATGGATCCGGACCCGACCCGATGGGTCCAATTTTGGACCCATACCCAGACTAAGGTCAGGTCGGATCAGATCATCTGGTCCAGGTCCATTGCCACCCCTACTATTAAGTCCCTCCTCTCTACCGGTCCTCATGACTACCACTCCCATTTCTCACTCTAAAAATTCGCTGAAATCTAGCTTATCCCCATAGAAATATCACTTCCATCTTAATACTTATAAATTGATTTTTATAGCAATATCACTCGTGTTTCACTCATTTATTTCTCACTCTAGGTCACTTGTACCCACAGAAATATTACTTATTTTAACAACTAATACATTGATATGTAGAGCAGTAATATTCATCTTTCACTTTGATAACCAAGGGAATGCATAGAAAGACCATTAATATTCATCTTTCACTTTGATAACCAAGGGAATGCATAGACCATTTATCTACATTGATATGTAGAGCAGTAATATTCATCTTTCACTTTGATAACCAAGGGAACGCATAGAAAGACGATTTACCTTACACTTCAAGACCGTTTACCTGACAAAAATGTTGACATCATCGATTTCTTACTCTAAAAATTGATGGTCACTTGTCACAATCGGATAGGATGCTTTTTTAAAGGTTAATACTGTTTAAAGTACTTAAAAAACTGATGGTCACATGTCACATGACCTTTTTTTAAGGTTAATACTATTTAAAGTTTGTTAAAAGAGATATCATGTAGTATTGTTATCATCTATCCAAAACCCATACATGGTAATTTATGTATAAAAAGTAAAAAAGAAAAAAATCATGTAACCAATCAACAAATGGTTGAGCCATATCTCAAAACAGCTTTACATTAATGTGAAAAAAAAAAAAAAAATAGAACCATATCTCAACAAAAAAAAAATTTTTATATCCAATGTGAAAAGGAAAAAAAAAAAAAATAAGAATCATATCTAAAAAAAGTTTTATATTAATATTACTAACTTAGAAAAAAAAAATACAAACAACTAACTGAGCCAAAAAAATACAAAATACAAAATACAAACAACCAAGCTGAGAATGCTATACATTCATGTCTAATAGAATACAACAACCGTCAATGAGGACAAGTCTAGCGAAGAAGGTTGTTTTCGAATCGTGCTCAAACCAAAATTTAACTCCAATTAAATTGAAGTTACTTCAATTGGGTAAGACACTCTTGCCTTTCTGTCTTTAACCAATCTACTTTTTTAATACATACACAATATGAAATATATTTAGACAATTTCGACAAAGAACATATAATAAAAAAGAAAAGTACCTATCAACATATAATAAAAAAAAGAAAAGTATCTACCAATCACTCACCCATTATAACCTATTTCTCAAAAACTATAACGGATCATCATCTATCTCAATAATCAACAAAATAAAACTCTCTTTACGTAAAGAATACCCAATAAAACCGTATTTTATTTTCTATTTGAAAAATGAACCAAAAAGAAATTATAAACCAGGACATATTTTATTTTCTATTTGAAAACTCAACCAAAAAAGATTTTATAAGCCACATCAATATTGAATTATTGGACAAATAAAATGATAAAATTCAAAATAGTTTAGATAAACTGAACACGGGAAATAAAAATTATAAAGAGTGAATTGGTGATGTATGTATTGATAAAGTAAAGAATTTGCCCCTCAAACTAATGGAACTTAATTGCCCTACCCATTCAACACTATGATTTTGCTTAAGGAATTTGTTTTGATTGATGAAAATAAGATACTAATTAAAAGCCATCTATAAAATAAAAATATTTTTATTTTTGGCTAAGAGAAAACTAAACTAGAAAACATATAATGATAGAATTTATGCTATAAAAAACAATTCAAATAGCTAGTTAGAACCTTCAATCCCCTCCAATGTTCTAAGCTCTAATGAGTACCTCTTTGGAATAACCCTTCCAATAATGCAAGTTAAAATGCATCTTGAACTCTAAATTTGAAATGTGCAGGTTCAAATAAAGAGTAAGTATAAGCAAACCATTTATGTATATGAAAACACTCGTTGTCAAATCATATACACACTCAATCCATGTCAAGTACCAGTATCATATATACACTCAATCCAGTGGGAGAGCCAATCACACTGAAAGAATGTCAAAGCGTACACATTTTGTGGTAGGCCTAATCACACTCACAAAATTCCATGCAAAATGAGAATCTCACACTTGGGAGATACTCTCAAAATCAGATAGAACTGTGAACTTTATCTCGTTATATGATCATTTCACTCATAGTGTTTTGCCTCAACAATTGTAATTGTGTCCCTAGGTTACATACACATGGATGCGCATGTTAGCATTTGATATGACTGCGATTGCCAAAATAAAAATCTCAAAACTAGTCTTTCAGACATGACACATTTGAAAAACCT